GGGGGATAAATTGAGACAGAATTGTAGTATCTACGGGTTTGTATGTCTAACTCATGGGAATGTAGGCATGTGTTATGTGTCCATGTATTTGCATACATGAATTGGTGCACATGGACTGCATACAAGTGTGGGTATATTAGTTTCACATTCAGGTAATCTTCCTCAGCTCAAATCAGTCAATCGTGTTGTAAGTCTGGTAGCATCTCTCTCTCTCTCTCTATAGTCTAATCTTGCAACATCTGCAGTCATGTAGCACAGGGTGTTCTGGGTTGCCAGGTTTGGCTCCCACAGCGAGCAGCTGCTCCATTCCCACAAAGGTGATACGTTGCCACATTTCCCAGGCCAGATAGGGAGAACTCCCCCCTAGCATCCCGTAATTATCAGAGTCTAACACACACTGCTCATCACAATAGCCAACTTGCCCACTTAACAAGAGAGAGACAGGCGCCTGGATTATCCTGTGCGAGAAACACTAGACCTGTTTCCTCTTTCACTGGTATATAGAAAATTAGATCAGCCAATGCTGATTGACTACATATGAGTCAAAGCTTACTCTTAGGCTCTTGGACTGAGGGACAGAGAGATAGAGATAGAAAGAGACAGAGAGAGAGAGAGAGAGAGAGAGAGAGAGAGAGCAATGAAAGCATAAAGACTGTAGTGGTGGAGTGGAGGTAGCAGTGCCAAGTGGTTTTCATTGCCAGCACAACCTGTTACTAAACCTCTCACAAGAAGATTAACTTCTTATTCTATCCATACAGAGCAATCATACAGCTGCAACCTGATACAAACCATGCTATACAGAACAATAGCATGTATATTACAGACTGGAGATGAGTTCCTTTTCATGTCTTTGTGCTACCTGCAAATATATGTAATGGAAGGCCATGGATGTGGGGAGAGCAACCAACAAAGAAAGCATTAGTCGCCGTTGGGAGCAAAGAGCTTTCGTGTATCCCGCATCGTATTTATCTGAAGGTAAAAATAACACAAGTGTTTTTCCATGTATTTGCTGTTTTTCATCACCCCAACGCAGGGAAATCTGCATATAAACAAGTTTAGAAGCCCCTTCTCTTCTTTTTTATTTAATTCATATGCAGAGGATGATGCTTAAGTGTGTATGTGTTTGTGTATCTGTGTTTGAATTTATGCCTTTCTGTGAGTATGCCCATGTGGTTTACTGTTGCTGTAATTCACAGCGACATCTCTCATGCTGGCTTTGCAAAATTAAAGCAGACTGCATTTTTTTCCCTAAGATGTTTCCTTGCATCTCGATGCCGTCTCTGAGACGTACTCTATCACCAAAGGCTTCACCCATTTCACTCTAATCACCTTCCATTCCAATCTTGAAATTACATTCCTCAGGTTGTAAGGGTTTACCACAAATTTGCTCAGTGCGCCAGAGAGGCAATCACAGAGGAGAGAGATCCGGTGCTACAAAATAAGAAGGCCTTAATATTAGAAATCAGGCAGTTTGAGGGGGTAATTTGCTAAAGGTTTGCTCATTGGTGAGCGTGTAAATTCACATGTCTTAGGGCATAAAAAGATAGAAGAGGAAGAAGAAGGAGAAGAGCAAATACTGTTAATGGGCTATAAATATTGATACATTTGGCAAATGGTGTTTCCTTGATGCAAGTTGGGTAATTATCCTTATTTTTACATCTTATACTTTGATATCTGGTTTCTTTACAAGATTTTAAAACTTTCAGGAGATTTTTTTTACGTGTTTTGAAGGTTGAAGTTATGTTTTGACTAAAAAAGTTTGCATTAATGATGAAAGGAGCAAATATGTAAAGATGCCGAGGCGGCTGTGAACACAGACTAGAGTGAAGGGTTGTCCCCAGAGGTATTTTCACTGCCCGAGTGCATGTGCTAGCCAATGAATCATTAGTGACAAAGTAATCAGGCCTCCCATTCATATGTTGCTGGGAGTATTTAGCAACCCGACAAGCCCTCTGCCTGCCAGCTGCCCATTTAGAGAAGTGGTGAATACCGTTGTTGGTGTCGCGGCGAGGCGTGATTCATTTTTAAATACATTCCAAATCCCTCTAATTAGGTCCACTTTGCTATGCCTTGCATCCTCTCACAAGACACTCCAGAGTACTCTGTGGGTATCTGACATATACAGCAAAACTCATCCACATGCCCTCCATTTCATAATCAAATGGGCCTGCATTTATATTGCATTCAATATTTATGGGCTCTTGGAAGTGTTTGTCCGTCCCCTAAACCCAAAGAAACAAGAAAAGGCTCCCACTCTTTGGAAAGAAGATTTCTCGTTAACCGAGGGTTTACGTGACATTTGGGTTTAATCAATCACCAATAAAAGTTTTCAGTATTGTATAGTTTAAGTTATCAAAAAGATATGGGCAGCAGGCACGCCTATAGGTGTTTAGATAATTTCATCATTTATCAAGTTTTTAGCACTGATGCATATCATATTAGTATAGTCAACCACGAGTTTAATCAAACAAATTGATGTGACCAAAATAAACAATTTATAACCAAACTAAAAAAGTTTTTTAGTTTCTGCATTCCAAAGTGTGCTTATCTACCAGGTCCAGTTATGCCAGCATTGCCTGTAGTCCGTTGTTTGGGCTGTGACCAAAACACCACAAACAAGGATGGAAGAAAGAGCTGGAATGGACATAAACATCCCTGTTTGACTCACATACTTATCATCAACACACATCTGCAGAGCATCTTTGTAGGCGGTATAGGCTGCCAGATTTCGAGAATGGCCTCATAAAGCCTCCTCCTTTCCTCGCCTCTCTCGGAGCTCTTTCCATCGTCACACTGTCCTCTGTCTGTGCTGTAGAGAAGGGGGCACTCTTGGCCAGAGGGAAAACTGACGCAATTCTTACTGTTGACGGGACCGAGCTAAGCCATCACACAAGCACTTTCCCTCCGTCTGGGAATTGGTCACAGCCACTTTAGAACTAAGGCGATTTCACGTTGCAACTTTTTTATTCTCACACTTTCCCCCGTGGCTGCTGTGCGAAGAGTTGTATTCAGAAGTTTTTCAAAAAGAGGAAAAAGTTTTTTTAGCGATGCACAAACGGGAACAGCATGGCTAATTGTCAAGTGGCGTAACAGCTGAGGCTGAGGACTCAGAGTGGAGGGACAGTGGGAGGGAGGCAGTGAAAGAGTATTTTTAAGAGCCCCTGAATAACAAGAGGCTATCTCCTACAATAAAATACACAGTTATATCAAAACCAAGGTAGGAGAAGAGGAGAGAGCAAAGGAAAGCACATGACAGGATGTGAGTTGAAGAAATGTTCCAGTTTCCAGTCTCAGGATAAACTCTGGAGCGATTTGAAAAACCTATTTAGCTCCTACCTGCTTCAGTTGAGAGAAGCGAGGAAAAGAGAAGACTTGACTGAGTTTTATTTCATGGGCCTCTCTCTCTCCAGCAGGGAGCTACAACATTGCTGCTGCCTTAAGCCCCTGGAGCAAGGCTGACACTCATCCACTCTCAGCCAGTTCCACTGACTGTCACAGCAGCTGCCAATCAACTGCTATCTACCTGCAAGCCTGAGGGCTGCTGGAGAGAAGCAAGAGCAGAGGATGGAGAGAGATGATGATGAAGGGGTGAGACGAGGCGGAGGAGAGGAGAGGAAGCAAAGGGAAAAGAGAGAGAAAGTGAGGCCGGGCATTCTCTGCAGCCTAGGTACAGGCTGTATTTGGGATTCAGCATTTCCATATCTGTGACGAGAGAGCAGGGAGACAGGGCACCGAAAAACAGAATCTCAGGGATGCCTTTCATGTTGGCCCCCTTTGATCTCTTTCCGGCTTTTGGCAGCAAGGGTGGAGTAGAAGAAGAGACGGAGAGGAAGCAGCTGAGGAGGGGAGAAAGGAGTTGTTTTGACAACCTCTCTCCATCTCTTTTTTCTCTCTTGAACGAGCCCTGCACCCCTTACCCCCCTTCACCAAACACACCCCTCCACCTCTGATCTGCCAGGAAGCCCGGGCATTAAGACTGGCACCGGTACAAAACAGCCGTCGCAAAGCATTCGCAAAGCATTGGCCAAGCGACGCTACGAAGACACAGGACAACAGAGGTTATTAGTAGTCAGGGGGCAGCGCTGGCAGTGCCACCAAAGACATGTAAAACTTGCCCTGCAATGCTCTGACGCTAATCCATATCTGCCACGACAGCTTTTTCACAGTCGAGTGGAAGGGACGGCTGACACGAGTCAACCCGCAGGAAACCTGTCTGCTCAATCCACACCTTCAATTAAAGAGAACATCCAAAGTCGTGCCAGGCTACGTCCTGCTGTGAATATTTATTGCTGCACAAAAAGTCACCCCTAGAGGCTAGATTAATATTTATTCATTTGTCTGTAGTGCTTTTTCTTTTCCCCTCCAATCCAAAATGCTGTGTGTTACTAATAAGCAGTGACTATAACTTAAAGAGTGAGTTTACCCTCCCTGATTCCTCCACTTCTATTTGTGCTTTGAGGATGCAACACTTTGGTCACTGAATTAATTGTTGAATAAGTTAAGTTATGCAATGCATCATTGCTGAGGTAACTTTTACATATACTGTCTCTGCCAGAAAACATAAACACACACAAACCCTCACACACACAAAGAGTCCAGGTTTCATCTTCCCTCCCTATCATTTATCATCATTTTATTGCAAGGGCACCAGGGGCGCAAAGTTATTACAGGTACAGTAGCGGTGGAAACTGTGAAAGCCACTTACTCCACCAGAAAGTGCAAGAACTCTAAACTTGATGAGTAATAACCATGACCCACTATCCTTCATCCACACACCACTCATCTATCCATCCATCTGTCTATCTATCCATTCGCCCCCTTCGACACTCGCCATTTATCAGTCATGGACCCTTTAAGCATACATCAAAGAC